TTTTGCATACTTTAATTTTTAATTGATAGTACTGAAAACTTTCCCTATACCTACATTATAAGCAGTTTTATAAATTTACAAACAGCTAGAAAAACATTTGATTTAATGTTTACATATTTTATCACTACTGTAACTACTGAAGACGGCTAATTCTATTGTATCAAAATAGTTCATCAACGGCAGATGAGATGTGTATTATTGCATATTAAATGGAATTTGCACCAGAGGAATACTTTGTTCATTTCAATATGTAAAAAAGTAAGCTAGAACCTGCAAAGCATCCCCAAGAAGAGTTTTTAAAATAGACTTTGCATGTAGAAATGTAGTGAAAGTCACTAGAATAATAAAGAAATGTGGAGTTTTGATGAATTGTATTTCATTAAACCAGCAGAAAATACAGGCCACAAAGTGACACAACCAAAATTGTGTCTCTGACGGGACCAAACTAGCAGCCAGCAGATATCGTATCAATACTGGTAGGATATCCACATGTATGTGGTTACCACTATTGATAGGTGTACACCTGAAAAAGACTGCAAGTGGTTTCAAGTTTGAAAGTAAAGCATCACTCAGGCAAAAATGTCAGCTGTTATGATGGCAAGGAAAAGGCATTGGTGCAACGCCTTACACTTGATGGTGCAAACATGTAATCCAGTATCCAGTGAAGTGGTAAAGTAGCTTTGAACAAGTCTGTCTTTTGAAAACAGAAGTAAAAGGTGATCCTTTTAAGAGCAAACTTGGAATTTCTCACTGTTAGTCGATGGTAAAAGCTTTTATTTTATTATTTTATGAAAAATATTCATTGCTTCTCTCTTTATGTCGACATTTAATGGTCACTGTTCACACAGGTTTGGTGCCGAAAATCCTAAATCTGCAGTAGCTACTTTTATGTGTTATTATTAGAATGATGCATTAGGAATAATGATATTTGTTAAGAGAAAATAATTGTCTTTTCACCTGAGTGAAGTTGCCCCCCCCCCACCTTCTTCAAATCAGAAAAAATTAGTGTCAAATGTTTGTGCTACGTTTGTGCTGTTTTGTGCAGCAGAAATTTTCATTTGTGCCGCTATCGTTTTAAAGATATAAAGAAATATTTCTAGAGGTCAACAAAGGTCAACCAGCCCCCCCCCCACTTTCTTCAAATCTTCAAATCCAAAGCAGCACAAATGAAAATTTTTGCTGCACAATCAGCACAAACGTAGCACAAAAGTTTGACACTAATTTTGTCTGATTTGAAGAAGGTGGGGGGGGGGGGGGCAACTTCACTCAGGTCAGACACCTAGAAATATTTCTTTATATCTTTAAAACGATAGCGGCACAAACGTAAATTTTTGCTGCACAAACCAGCACAAACGTTTGACACTAATTTTGTCTGATTTGAAGAAGGTGGGGGGGCTAACTTCACTCAGGTACTGGAACGGTTCGAATGTTGGAGGCAGGCTGGAGACGATGTGTTCTTTAACCAGCCTTTCGAAGCACTTCATCATGATGGGAGTCAGTGCGACAGGCCAGTAATCATTTAGTGAGGTGACATGAGGCTTCTTTGGGACCAGAATAATGGTGGCAGACATGCATGCTGGCACTATGGATTGATCCAGCGAGGTGTTAAAAATGTCTGTGAGGACATATTAACTGTAAGTTCTACTTTTTGTTTGCAGAAACAACTTTACTTTCCTTATGAATCTTAGTAATCTTAGTGGATCAAGCCCATATTGTTGTGTTTGAACTTATAAATTGGAGAGAGATAAATTATATGTTTGAATGGTTAGTAGAATCCAATTTGCGTACTACATGATTGTCAGATAGAAACTCTGACCTACCAAAAACCTCAGATGGAGGGTGAATTTGCATTTTAGCAAGTTGCTGTTTAGAGGGACAATCATTTGGACCTGTGTATATTATGAAGAAGATGTGTTAAAGGGTTCACTAGGTTTTCTAGAAAGCCTTCGCACTCCACATCATTTTTAAGATGTACTCAAGTATTCTTTGAAGGCAGAGACCTTTTCAGGGCAGCAAAGACCTTTAAATTAAACAAACACTTTAATCTCTTCACTTTGAGTCATATTCATGGGGCAGTAACTGTTTGTGATCTCCGTGTTTTAACACCCTTGTAAACAAATCCTGTTTTAAGAGGATTTTCATTAAGGACTGAAAACTCTGTGCTGTATAGGCTAAAACAATGGTGAAACACTGTAACCTCATAGAGCCCCTTTACTTTGGAGGTTGGGAAACAGTTTGACATTATTTGCATTTCAAATTCCCAGCAGATCATTTTCAGAGGCATTTAACTGACTGCAACCTATAAAGTTTCCTACAGTCTGTTTTTTAATTGTTGTGTTGATACTAAAAAGCCCAAAGTGGGACTCATCAGGAGAGTCCCCAAGTATAAATAAATTTTTTCCTGTTTTATTTTACAGATCAGACTTGCTGTGGGTTCACTGTAATTTGAGTGCAGCATAAATATAGCTTGTCACCTCCCTGTGAGTAAAAGATGAGAGTTAAATAACCCATGATGGGACATCCCCAACTGATTCTCTGAATCAGAAATACATTTTTCTGTAGTTTTAATTCAGGCAGATTACCTCACATGTAAAATGTATGACTAAATTCACCTTCTGGACATAGAGAAACTTCCCAAAAAGTTTATGTATTCGTTTTGTTTGCTCTGACCCCTTACATGTCAAATAAAGAACATCCTGGTCTCAGATCCTACTCTCCCCCTGTCGCATCGTGCATTCCCACATAAACCAATGGTATCACTTTCTCAGATGTTGATTCTGTAGTGCCAGGAAGCCTTTGCAAACAGATAGCTGTTTGCTCTAGCTGCTGCCTAGGTGACCCACTAAAGAGGCAAAGGTTTGCAAGCAATAACCGACAATTGTACCTAAAAGTCGCAAAATAAGTTAAAACTCCAATTCTGAGCAAACAAAAGCCTTAGAAAAGCGTGCCTGTCAACTTGCTGACTCAATCTCAGGCTTGAGCAGCTGAGTAGGGAACAATAATCTCCAGTTTTGCATGACTGTCTGCTGAAAAAAAAATGCAAAACACCAACTGTGAGGTCGTAAAAGTTGTACACTTACTACAGTTATATCACTTTTCTGCTTTATCAATTCACGCAGTATACTTTACAGACACATGAAGAACTCAATTCCTTTGTTAATTAAATTTTAGATTCTGAGGTATCAGTTGCACTAGCACCACATCCGGTGGTTTTGCTATGCTTTGTCATGTGGCTGTTATCTTTTTTCCCCCCCAAAATACAGGGTAGGAGTCATACATCCTGTATGTCTTACGTAAAAACAACTTAAAATAACAGATACAATTCTATGCAATAAATCATTAAGTCATCTTGTGAAAAATAGTATTCCATTTTACTATAGATGACATTTGCTTTATAATAATGATATATTTACAGACGAACACACTTACGTGGTGCGAAGTAAGTACTAAAGATGTCAGTGCATGTTTTTTGTTGTAGTAAATATATTTCAAACATTTCAAATGACATGCATTTTTTAACAGACTTCAGTAAAACTTTCAATTATCCACAACATACAAGAAACCATAAGTACATAAACACTGATCAGATCATAAGTTCATATTCTTACGGTTCAGTGATACCTTTGGTTGGATATTAACTGATGTTCTGTATAGAAATGTATCATTATAAAGTTTTTGTCCAAAGTACAGCTTCATTACTTCTTCTTAAGGCTGCTTTATAATCCAGAATATCCAATAATAGTGTTAGAAAGTTTTTTTCATACACATAGGTCATTTAACTCTGCTTCAACACTTCTATACAGATTCATTCCACAAGACTCCACTGCAGAAGAAATATTATGATGAAGTTTGTGTGAGCTTTTTTCATGGCACAGTCTTGGCAGACGTCATAAAACAGGAGGTTGGCTGACTAGATAAATGTAACAAGACTTTCCTGAAAAGAATATGAAGACAAAATACAGTAGTCAAACAAGAAAGAGTCAAGAAAACTCTTTCAGATAAAAAAAATTACAACTGTACATTCAGTCACTTGAATAGTATCAAATGAAACATGAGTGGAAAGAACTGAAGATTAGGGTGTATAGAACCCATCAACCATCTGACTTAGAAAAAGGATTCCAAAATGATCCATCAAGGACATCTTGAATTTACCTTTAACCGTTTAGTTTTAACTAAAAAGTATTGATTGAATTCCTGAACGTGGGTTCAGAACTTATTTCATATTATGATTCCATTCTAAGTTTCATACTTGAACGTACCTAAAAAAAAGAAGAAATGTTCTAACATGCATGTGCAGAGAAACAATTGACACACTATCAATACTTAAATATACATACACTGTCTCTTTAAAGGAAGGGGGAAATAATGCAATTTCAGGGAAGGTCACTGAGTTTTACAACTACTGTAGTCTGAATAATTCGTTTATGAACTCAAAGAATGAGGAAACCATTCTATGCCAGACAACAAACGACATTTGCTAAAGATTATGGGAGAGATTATAGTAGACTTCTTCCTGGAAGGAAGCACATCTTTTTCTCACAAGAAAAACAATGTTACCATTATCACAGAGTGGAAAAGACTCAGGACATTATTATTTTTTCTGCACGTGTCAGATTTGCTATTTGACATTATTGTAAGTGCACAAAAAATAATGAAACCGCTTCAGAAGCTTCGTCTAATACTGTAGATATATGAAGGTTTGTATTCTATCAATAGGCTACAATACAGTCCAAAACGCCTGCATGCACTGGTCCCTATATGACAAACCAGAGGAAGAATTTTACCATGCAAAACTACAAACAATATATACCACTTAATGAACAAAAAAAATGTTTGTTACAATAAATTTTAAACCAGATTACAAACTCGGGCAGCCGCACTTGGTTTTTGTGGAGTTTAATTTGCAAACTTGCATCAGCTTCACAACCAATCATAATTGTCCAACTGCTTGCGTCACACCTCTTTGAGCCAATCAGAAATCTACACGATGGTAGAAAAGATCGGGGTTGGACCTTAATTCAGCAAGACAGTCGGGAAGAGTCAAGGGACGGGTTGGTACGGAAACCTGGAGGTCTCTGCTAAAATCCAGAACGGATACCCCAAGGTTTTATTTTATTACAGCCCCAAAAGAAATATTTCCATCATGGTGGTGGTAACGGCTTCAGCTGGAAGCCACAAAGTGCTCCTGATATCCGGGAAACAACCTGGCTCACCGAGCGGCTCACAGACGGCCTACAGCCGGCAGATATCTCTGGTTTTACCGTCCAGTCAGGTGTCGTCGGACTCGGACTCCAACATGTCTGTGGGGCCGCCGGTGCGGAAGCGACAGAGGCTCACTCATTTGAGTCCGGAAGAAAAAGCGCTTCGCAGGTGAGTTTAAGTAAAATAATCCGACTCAGTTCAGTGTTTGGAAGCCTAAATCGTAGCCATTGTTGCGGGCATTTAAACGAAGACACGCCCTGATGTTTACCACCAGCTGGAAAAAATTTGCTGCTAAATGCCCAATTTTTATATATATATTTTCTACCGTTATTTTTCTGTGTAGTTATGCTTTCATGTTTCTGTGGTGTGGCTGTTATCTTGGCCATTAAACTGACCCAGGGTCAGCTCCTACACTGCCTGCGTGGCAGCAACATGAGCGCAGATTGCTCCATCTGATTCAGCCAGCGTCATGGAAACCTGCCTTTTTTTTTTCCTCAGGAAACTGAAGAACAGAGTGGCAGCTCAGACTGCAAGAGACAGGAAAAAGGCCAAAATGGGGGAACTGGAACAACAAGTTGTAGAATTGGAGCTGGAGGTATAATATTTACTGAAACTCATAATATTAAAACACTTAATCCACCATAACTGGCTCAGTCATGCCAGTTTTAATAATAATAAAACTAATAATAAAAGTAAGGAATGCACTTAAATTATTTTTAAGACTCATAAGTGGGGCAACTTTTCGGTTTCATTTCTATACTTTGCTTTCTCGCCAAAAGTCATGCTTCACTTCTCCATAAACCGTTTCCAAGTTTCATGTGTGAACATCAGTTTTTTTTTTTCTCACAGAACCAGAAACTTCACATCGAGAACAGAATGCTTCGGGAAAAAACAAACGGTCTCCTGACAGAAAATGAGGAATTGAGACAGAGACTTGGGTTGGACACCCTGAAATCAAAAACAAAGGTAGGGACTATAAGGAAAGAGCTGATTTATGGACTAAACCATACATATAGTTTACCTTGAGTCCTAATAATTTTTTTCCCTCCCTCTTTTAAAGGTTCAGACGCTGCCATCCAACGGGAACGACGCAGGTTTGGGGATCGGGTCTTCTGAGTCCGCAGCACTCAGGCTACGTGTGCCTCCGCAGCAGGTGCAGGCCCAGCAGTCCCTAAATCTGAAGACTTCTCAATGGATACAGATTGTCTTGACTCTACAGACAATGAGGTGAGACTCGATCACCATGTCAGTTTTAAAGGGATGATTGGGTAATTTTTAAATGTACTATTAAGCCGACTGATGGGTATAACTAATTACTAGTAATCATCATTAAAATGGCAGTAGTCTTCAACATGGGGGCAGTTGGGATATTTGGGGGTTCTTCATAGAATGACAGCTTTGACATTATCTTGTATATCTACCAATGCAGTCTTTGCACTAGTTTGTATTAAATTGTTGCTATGGGGGTTAGATTGCTGTTTAGAAAAAATGGCCACTATTGTATCTGAATCCATCTAATCCCCTTCTGTCTTCCCTTGAACAGTCTGATCTGCTGCTGGGCATTCTGGACATCCTTGACCCAGAGCTGTTCCTCAAGTCTTGTGATCAGGAGTGCCAGGAGCCGCAGGTGCTGCTGGTTGGAGGGGGGCACCCAGTACCTGCCGCCCCACCTGCGCCTCTGGGGACCCCATCAGTTAAGCTGGAGGCCCTTAATGAACTGATTCACTTTGATCACATTTACACCAAGCCAGTGGAGGAGGTGAGCAGCGAGCAATGCAGCAGCGACTTGGAGAGCAGCACCAATGAGAAGAACGATGGGGCCCCCTTCACCATTACGGAGGTCGTAGTCGAGGAGGAGACGGTCTGCGTGAAAGAAGAGCCTGATGAAGTGGTCATCCCTACCTGTGTTGGTCACAGTGAGGCAGATGGCCTCTTCCCTGGTGCCTCCTCCTCGGCTCTCGGCACCCTGGAGAAGGAAGCCTCACTTGCGGACACCTACAGCGACTCCGGATATGAAGGGTCCCCTTCCCCTTTCAGCGACATGTCCTCTCCCCTGTGTTCTCAGAGCTCCTGGGATGACATGTTTGCCAGTGAACTCTTTCCCCAACTTATCAGCGTCTGAAATCAACTCTGCCCAAGAAGTCTAATATGTTAAATTGTAAATACACAAGCTAATGTGTAGTGTTAAATTTTCAGTTTCTATATTTTAAAACTAATCTATAAGACAAACTGTAATTTTACAGCAGGTCTGTACCACTGCCAGCTCTGTTAGTGGTAGAGTTCACGATAGAGGATTTAAGATTGCCAACAAATCTTTCACTCATTCTTCAATGACATATGGGTGGATCGGTATTTGTATTTTGGGGGGGGGGGGGGGGGGGCCCATCAATTAAACATTACACTTATTTATTTGTGTATGGCTTCAGAGTCCAATGTCTGCATGTATAAAACAAAATATCTTCACATTTTTGCTTGCTCTCCTTGTAGTTGGATTTCTGTATTAAAATCTTGCATCCATACCTTGTCTCTGCATTGATTTTCTTGGTTTGGTAAAGAGGATGAATTTAATGGAGTTACAAGTTTCCTTTTTGATCCTTTATTCCAAATTCTATAGGGATGGTGATTAAACTGTTTCCTTCTGATAAACCTTTCCTTGGTTAATTAGACTTGAATGTCTAAAGGAGAGTGGTCTGCTGCAGGTTGGCACTTAATGGATGTTTAAACTGAAAGGACGGAAAAAGGAAAAAATGGTCGTCTACACCAATTTCTGACATGAAATGATTAAATTATTCTTGATAGAATAGGGTGATATTTACAAATGACAAATTTTAACAAAGTTTCTCCAAATGCCCTTTAGTCAAACTTGACTTAAGTTCAAGTCATTTAAAAAGTATTGGGGAGAAAAAAACTTAAAGATCCAACTTGGCCCTTGGTTTTGGCACAAAACCTTCATGCTTCTGCTAGATTGCTGGGAATTGAAATTCTCATGGTTTTGGACTGTATATAACCCCCTGGTCTAATTGGAGGGTGGAACAGACCCTTGCATTAAAATTTGTCTTTTTAATCTTAGAATGTGATTAAATTTAGAAGTTAAAGGTGTCCACATTTTACTACTTTTAAAGAGGCTAATTGACTTACCAGTAACATGCATATTTTTCAATGGGTGGGGGAAGCAGGAGTGCCGGCAGAGGGAACCCATCCATGCAGGCTATGTTTATCTAAACTGTTAAACCTGCAGATCAGTGAAGTTGGACAGCCTTCTATTCTCATGGCCACATTCTGTTTCAATTGTGATCATTTTTTAAATACTGCTACACAGAAAACTAAACTCTTATTTCCCTTTGGCTCCATCTTAAAGAGGCTCTAAATAACACCGTGTGTCTCTCATGAGATTCCCAAGAGTTAAATTTGAAGCCCTCTTTGCTTACCTACAAAATCAGGTCAGTCTAAGTATTGTTAAAGGGAGACAAAAGGAAGAAATGATTTCCCCTCAGGACATGTTTCTAATTTCAGGGACTTTTGTGTATAGAGGAGAGCAGTTTCTGGTATGGTCATGGGTCTGGCCCACTGAACAAAAGCCCCTGGAGTCCCTGTTGTGAGCTGATTAGATCAGGTTTTTAACATGCAACGTTTATGCAATTGATTGAGCTGTAACTCAGTCAGCACCTAGCTGCCTGTCTCCATTAGGGTCTTTTTTGTACTGATTGGAAAGATTTGTTTTGTGATCTCTGCCCTCATGGCTCACAGCAACACATTTCTTTCTGAATTTCACCCCAGGCCTACCTAGGAAATCTGTCTTAAACATCGAAGTTGTCAAATCCGCCCTTTCATCGTAAAATTCCCTATTTGGTTCTATTGTTTTTTTTTTTTGGCTCTTGTGGGTGGTTAAAGAAAACCACAGAGACATTGACGTAGCCTCTTAAAAAAAAGAAAAGTGTGGTGACAAATTCACAGAATCCTATTTTGAAGGTGCAGACACAGAAAAGGGCAAAACCAAGTCTCCAGATGTTGAGCCGAAACTGAAAAGTGACACAGTAGATTTTCATTTTCAGTCTGCAAATTCTGGTTTGTGTTAAACTACGAGACTCATTTCGGCCCTATATTTCCTTTGAGGTTTACTAACATGGTGCACTGTACTTTGCCTTACAATTTCAACCAGCATTTACATTTCACAGTTGGGAGGTTTAGCATAAGAAAACTGGATTTTAAAAGTTTGCTCTTAAAAAAAGGAAGGTCAATGGATAGATGTTCAGTTCCTTCGTTCCTTAAAGGCAGGAAAGAGGATTTTTTTTCAATGGCTGTTTGTATATTTTTGAATCGTACGCTTGTGTCGGTGCCCCCTCCTTCTCTACGCTGGAAATGTTTCCGCCAGTAATTTTGTATTTCACTTAGAGAGGCAGGAAAGTGCCAGGATGCACCTAGTCAGCAGAAAATCTCCATAAGAAGAAGATGTCTCTGCCGGCGTTATCACTTTAAGTTATATTTTCATTTGTTGATGTGTTCTTGCTGCTGCATGTTTCATAATAAAAAAAAATACAGTCTTTACTACAGAATTCAACATTATTTACCTGTCCAGCAGATGTTTTGGGACCATAGCAACCATTTTCAGACCTTTTTGCTCCTTCAGGGCACGCCATCTCTGAAAAGAATCTCTTAAACACACACTTAGCCGGCTCCGTTTTCTCCCACTTTCTCTCCATTCACAAATACATAAAAAAATGCTTTCTTTTCCAGTTAGGTTTATCAGAATTTGGTTCGGTCATTGATGCTCCAGTTTACACAAAAGAGTGAACAAATAGCTTAAAAAAAACAGCAGCACCAAACAAGCGTAGGAGCACTTCTTTGTGCTTTGGACCTCTAGCTAAGCAGTGTATGAGTTATGCTTAGAGCCTACATAAATAACGTCATGGCGGCAGAGGTGTCAAGTAACAAAGTACAAATACTTTGTTACTGTACTTAAGTACACTTTTTAGGTATCTATACTTTACTCCATTACTTATTTTTCTTCTGACTTCTGCTCATTACATTTTAACACAAGTATCTGTACTTTCTATTCTTTACACTTTTAAAGCAAACGTTTTAAAGCAAACGTTACTTGTTCCTCCTGGTTGAATGTTTATAAATATTTATTTCATGTCATGTGCGCCATCCAATGCAGATCATTGGCGCCATCCACATCTAATTGGATGAGTCATATAACGCAAACACTGATTGGTTAGCTAAAGGAAGTCATCAGAAGCAAGCAGGTGTTCTTCAAACTGCAAACGCGAATTGTCTATGCCATGCTACAATGTGGGATTCAGAAAAAGATGTCGAAAGGTCGGATACAGGCGAGAGCGTATCGGCAGATGGAGACGGAGACCAACAAGACCTCCCTCATCTTTGTCCCTATCTCATAGAATTTTTTGAAATAGTCGAAAGATTGAGCTTTTGATTCATATAGTGGCTGCTTTTTTTTAAAGGTTACTTTATACTTTAAGTAGTTTTTGGAGCACATACTTTTTCACTTTTACTTGAGTAAAGAGGTCAAGGTAATACTTCAACTTTTACCAGAGTGTTTTTAAACTGCAGTATCTATACTTCTACTTAAGTAACAAATGTGTGTACTTTTGACACCACTGAATGGCGGCAGGTACGCAAAATGTTTGATTGACAAACAAGCAGCCAATCCACTTTAGTATCTACAGTAGACTAGCTAATGTTTTGCAGGCACCATCTCAGCCACAGTTTATAGATTTTATTTAATTCCTTTTTTGTACAGGGGGGGCATTAAGTGCAAGAATGGCAGACATCGAATCATCTTAGATTAATCTGGACAATTTTAATACCCTTAATGGATCTATTATCTTTCCTTCTAATGCCCTGTCAACAGTAACCGGATGCTGGAGTGCATTATAGTTGCCATGGAGTAAAAGGGGGACAGTTAATCCTTGGCAAGTAGCACACAGACAACTAGCAGTGTGTGCTCAATCTAAATCCTAGCTGTGACAGCGTTCTGCAGGGAAGCATTGGCTGAGATACTGCAGCCAACAACTTCATGTTCACCTTCTAAACACATCTGGTCCTGTTAACCCTGTCTTTCTCGTAAACATAGCAGCTGCCTGAGCTTTTGCAATAACTAACCATACAGCGTGTTGCTGTGTCATCTTATTACAGCTCATCTTCTTAGCTGGTTCTTTAGCCACTAAGGGAGCTTTGGCTTCCATCATGTTTTCAGTTTTTTCCTCACATAGAAAATACTCAATTTAACCGTCCGTTCACTTTAATCTTATGTTTATCCAGGAGGAGTGAATACTGCAATGCAGTGACTGCTGCTCTTGACATTCTTACAGTTTGACCTGCTGTCATTTATCTAAACACACAAATGTTTTGCTATAAACTTTGAGCACCAATATCTTGAATAGGATGGAGTTGTGCCCAAAATAGCTGTTTTTAGTGCTACAGCCGTTTTTCCCTAATCTTTAAAGTGGTGTCTCCTTTTAAACAAACTGCTAAATTGTTTGAATAAAAGAAAGTTTTACATATCAAGTATATATAACGTGATTATACCTAAAGTGCCTCATACCTCTTTTTTCATACTCATGTTACATAGCACCTTTCATATTTTATATATATATATCTGAAATTATATGTAATAGAATGAATGTGAAGCCAAAAAAGATATTTTTAAGTAAAAATCAGAAAATTATTTGGCTCATTTGTTGTCAGTTCCTGACAAAAATCCGGTGCAATCAGCCTCAGAAGTGCCCTAACTAGAAACGAGTGTTTGTGTGTAATTAACAAAAGAGCAAACAAAATAGCATCTTAGAGTCAAATGAACACAGCAGTAAGTGTCACGAATAAGGTTGCGGATTAATCCAAAGCAACTACTATTACAGGTTTGCAGATCTCAGAGAGCATTGATTGTTTCTATCATCTGAAAAGAGGGAAAGTTTGGCCTGAGTGTAAATTTACCAACCGCTGGAACTCCTAACCTAAGAGGTAAATGGTAGCTCTGGAGGAGCTGCAGAGATCTGCAGCTCTGGAAGAGAATCTTAATAGAATACAGTCTTTTGTGTGAATAAATCACATAGAAATCATGTACAATAAAGGTAGGATTGTTGGTTGATTAAATAGGGAAATGTTCAAAGGCTATTGGTATTGTTGCAAAGTGTGATATTTTTCTTTGTCTTATTTTCACATAGAGCTACGCATGTATAATAGCAATGGTACAAAGCCACACTTTCTTCTGAACG